GGGATTTGCAAAGCAGGAGACTGTGATGGTGGGTTAACCGAAATCTGCTGGCACTTTGCACGTACTTCCTGTACTTTCTTTTATAGCCGTTACTGAAAGCAAATACGTTCTTTATTTGTATAAACTTTATTGCAGGACATTTCCAGAAGACCTTGAGTGAAACCACGCAGTGTTTGAGTCCATTTTAGCTGTGACCTGATCTGTAAACACTTTCTATTGCAGATAAGGCTGGAGTGACTTTCTTTCAGATTTTGGCAGGATTTTACCTGATACAAATTAATTTCACCCCCACCAAAGACAGAGATATTTTTTTTCAATTAAGTTATCAAATCCTTTTTTTTCTACTGTAGTTAATGGGAATTGATTTTAAGCTCTCAAAATGCTGACGCACGCATCACATTTTATTTCTGTTGATAATAATAAAATCTTATTTTATTATCAGTAGACTGATCTAAGCAGTTAATATTTTGTATGCTGATTTTTAATGTGAGCAAGCACTATGATTTAGAAATAAATTATTACTGCCTGTTTCTATGTGGAAAATCCCCTCACCAAGTACAGTCATGCAAGGTGACAGTCACCAGTTTGGTCCTGGTTAGCTGTTTTGGGGGGATGCAAAATTTATCTGCCTTTAAGCTGTGATGAAACAAGTAAATTCTTGAATGTTATTTATGCAGCCAAAGCATGATGGCAAAAATGTGCTCTGATGATAGCTGCTCACTGATTCCAGCTAAAATCATGTGCAGGGACATCTACATGATTTCATAGAAGCAGTGCACAATTTGGAGCTTAAAATAAGTCCTTGCAAATGAAAATCAGTGCACTTGAAAGCCATTATGATTTGTGGTGATTTCAAGTATTTAGGTTTTGAAATAATCACCCATAAAACCTGCATTAACCATGCTCCAAAAGCAGCGAACTGATGAAGACGGTGCCCTAGTAGTCTCTTCTGTCTGTATTTGAGCACCTTCTGAATGTCTCCTGCTGCCAGCAGAAAGTATCATCCACAAAAATCGCAGCTGGCAATAAGGGGTCATTAATCAGATTCCAAACCCATCTGCCAAGCAGGTGCAGGAGAGTGACTTGCTAAAACCACCCGTACTCTCATTAACAGCCCTACCAAATGCTAAATCCCTCCTGTTCTCAGCAGCCTGCCCGGTCAGTCCTTTCCTCCTTTGCAGGTCTCTCTGAGAACTGGATGCTGTCTGTCCTGAGCAGCACTGAGCGATGGGGCTCCGCGTGAGCAATGCCATGTGTGGTTTCTGTGGGGCTTCTGGGGAAGAGGCGGCAAAGACTTAAAAGGTATTGAGGATTGATTACCCTTTCTTTTACACTTGCTCTTGGTTACCCTTTCTGTTGCCCTCTAACACAGTAATGAGGCCACAACAGTCCTCTCTGAACCTGGAAAGGTACCAGCGCTCTGGGGAGTCTTCAGTTTGTTGTAAATTGCCCTTTATTAAGGGTATTTCTTGCCAAGATCTACAGATCCTGTGTGGTTCACAGCAGTTTCTGAGGTTTTGCAGAAGTGGCGTTAAGAATCAACAGCTTTGGTCTCCAGGCCACTCAACACAGTTGGATTTTGAGCTAAACTGCTCTCTGCAGGAGCCTTGAGTCTCTTACTTTTTTTTTCTTTCCTTTTTTTTAATAAAAGGTGTCAGGTACTCATGTAATTCTTCAGGATGTGCAACTGCTGCTCTTGGTCTATAGTGAGGATAGTTGACTCTGACAGATGCCTCAGCAGACCTTGAACTCGCCAGGGTGTTTCTCAATCCTCTGTGGTCTGTCCTTTTGGAGCCCAGTAGCTCTGCCCACCACCTCCCAGTTGCCCTCACAGCCACCATGGAGGGAGAGCCCATGCTTGGCAGTATGCTGTGCTCTGACCAGGGGACCTCTCGTAGTCTGCCACAGTAGAAGTACCCAAAAGCCTACAATTTATGGGCATTTATTGGCATTTATTTCCTCAAGAACCAAATGATTCATGATATGGGGAGCCTGATGCCATTTGTGCAGCAAAGCTCCTCTGGGTCAGCTGCAGAGCTCTCTTTTCTGGCTCTCCCTACATCCATGTGACACTCAATCCAGCCCAGCAACTGCTGTGTGTGGCTACCTGGGGGTTTCACTGTTATTTGCCTTGATTATCACAACTTCTACTCCATGGCCCATCTGCTTTCATCCTGGTAACTGGTGAATGGGCCTCTCCCTTTCCTCTCTTCAGGGCTCTTGTTTGGCATCTTTTAGCACATCTGTCCTTTCATACGAGGGCCTCCGCACTACAGGAAGCTCTTGTCCAGCCCATTTCCTTGGGATCTCCCTGCTCCAGTCACTGTAGGAGCCCTCCTGCTGCCCAGCCCTCCCACCAGGACTACAGCAAAAGGACTTTCAGCACTTTCCCCTGCATGAAGGTGTGTGCAACTCCACTCAAAATTTTTGCTGAAAATAGTAAGATGTAAATGCAGCTACTTGCAAATTAAAAATCCAAATGAGGATTCACAATTCACCTTGATGCTCAAGGTCCCAAAAGAAACAGCTTAGTGTTAGGTGTAGTAACAATTGCACACTTGGTTTGCAGATGGGAAGCATAGACAGTTTCTACTTCTGAAAAAAGGCTTTACTGCCTTCTGGCCTCAAAGGGCTCGCTGCCTTTCTGGTCCTGTGTCAGTGAAGTTCTGCAGCAGCGGTGATGGATGATTCACAGCTGTGAGTACAGGTAACCCTGAGAGGCAGCAGCAGAACGGAGCAGAGTGCCCATGCCCAGGGTGGCTCAGCCGGCCGAGCTCGCAGAGCCTCCCCGTCCCGGCATGCCCGGCCGAGGGAAAATAAACAGGGAGTTGTCAACAGAGCGTGACTGCGAGGGGGAGTGGCACAAACACAAGGGTGTAAACATGCGGGAACAACCAAGAGTCTCCCTGTCCGGTCTGGGTAGGATGTGCTGTGCCTTCTGCTCTGGTACTGATGGACACACGGCTTTGCTGAATCACTCTCTGAAGCAGGTGGCTTGTGTGGGTTGCAGGATGGATCCTCCTTGTGCACAGGGCAGGAGCCCAAAGCTGAGCACTGTGTGCCTCGCCTGAGTGGGGGACAGCAGGCGTGCTATAAGTGGTATTTTCTACATCCCAATTCTTTCTCTAGGTTCTTGACGTGTTTGCAATTCTGTCCCTTTAATCTGTCTCATATTGCAAACTGTTCCCCAAATTTAATAACTTAGTTGGAAGGGAATTGCTGTGATCTTGACAGAACATGCTGAGTCAATCTATTTTAACTACAGATTTGGTTTGCAAATAATATTTCCTTTCTGATAAGGTTCAGGTGTCATCTCTGTGGACATTGGCAGGAATTTGCTTGACCGTGACAGCTTTAACAGAGACTAGCAATTAAGTTGTCAAGATACGTTTTCCTCTGCCAGGAAGCATTAATTGATGATGCTCTTGGCTGAAATAAGCCCTGGGAGATGGATATTTGTAATCAGGATGAACAGAGGTCCTTGTGGTCGAGACCTGTGTTGGTCCAAAGATCTGGAGTCCTTGATACTCGGTGGAACTGAGGTAAGGGACAGGGTAGGAGACATCAGGCTGACTATCAGGGGGAAGGAGTGAAAACAAGATATGTGAATAGAGATCGTTCTGATGTCACTAGAGGTTAATGTAGCTGGAAACGCTGGCATTTGGGGACACTTCAGCTTTGTGGATGCACACTGCAAACTACTAATGTTAGCAGAGCTCCTGGATATGAAAGCAAATAGAACTTTCCATTAGGTAATCCCTAAAATCCTGCTATTGTGGATTTGCTTTTTAAGTGATAAAGGCGTTGGAGATGTCCTTCTCTTAGAAAATAAAGCTGGGATGATTCAACATGAGCTTGCTCTGATTAAATTATGTCAAAAATTTATCTGCAAGTAAGGATTTGGTTACCAAATACAGGATTTGAAAGCTTAAAAGTCAGTGAGAAATTTGGAGAATTTACGATCCCAGTTGAGAAGACTGGGATTGAGACCAATTCAAAGAATTACCAGAAATCTCCTTAAATGAAGGACAAAAAAAGTGTTCAGGAGCAATCCAAGTTCTGTTACCTTAACAGTGGGCAAACCTTCAGGAGAAATTTGAAGAAAACTAAAGATACAAAGTGTAAAGGGATAATGTACACAGTGAACTTTCAGGAAGGAAACCATGCGTGGGCTAATATCAATCTTTGCAAAGTTGGCTGACTTCCTAGATAAAGGAAATACAGTACATCTAGTCTATGAGACATCAAAAGCATTTGGCCTGTTGCCCTGCGGGATGGAGTCACCTAGGCTTGGCAAGGTGGGTCAGGAACTGGCCATGGGGGAGGTGGCAACAGATGAGCAGGGAGTACCATGGGAGTTATCAGTGAACGTCCAAAAAGACGGGTTTTTAGGACCAAACTTAATATTTTTGCGCTGTGCTATAATACAGAAAAAGGTTGGCACATGGAGCAGAGCACTGCTGAGTTTTTCAAAACGGCAGAAGTGCAGGATTTCTCCTGCAGAGCGCAGGGTGACCTTCTGGGCTGAGCTTGCCTGGGCTCAAACTGGGATGAAATACAGCGGTGAAGAGTATGAAATTATGCTCTGAGGTTAAATAATGAGGGTTTCTGCTATCAGCTGGCAGCTCAGTTGAAAACTATAGAGGAGGAGGAAGATCTAATTGCATTTACCCAGTTGCAGGGTAAATGTGAGCCCACAATGTGCTGCTAGGGCTGGGGCAGATCCAGGAGGAGAGGGGGTCCTGGCATGCTCCCCGCTCCCCTCGAACCATGCAAAAGGCCCTTTCCTGGCACGCACGCCCGTGTCAATCATTAGCTGGAAATCTAGAACTGGGTAAATACGTTTTGGCTTTGTGTGGTGATGACAGACTTGGAGCGTTACCTAATAAGGTGGGACCACTCGATACCACGCTGTGCTATATATTGCTGCTCCTCCCTGCAGTCTTCCTCTCCCGCACAGAGAGCTAGCAGCCTGCACTAGTGTGGTACCTCTGTCTGCCATGAAGATAACAGGGGTGTTCGTGAAGGCAGCTCTAGCCCTTTGCTGCTACTTAGGTGAGTGTTTCCTGGGATATTGCGGAACTCGATCAGAGCTGAATTTTCATTTCAGTCAAAGTATTTGGGTCTTGCAACATCGAGGAGAGCCTTATTCCATGAATAAATATTCTTCCTGAGAGAGTCTAGCAAAAATTTAGACTTCAAGACTGAGGTTTCAGTGAACCTCATACAGGTGACTGTTCTCATCTTCTTGGTTTCTAGGAGCAAATTGCTGAAGGAGCAGCCCTAGTACAGGGCAGCAGCTTGCACATGAGTGTACTGTGTATAAGGGCAAAGTAAAACTGTTAGAAATGGCATCATTACCCATGAGAGCAATAGAAATGCAAACTTTAACCTCTAGGATTGCTCTGTGCAATTTGCTATGCTGTTCCCAGGAACTGAGAAGGATGAGTTTGGGCATGGAGAGGGTCACTTCCCTGTAACATCTTAGGAACAGATTAACCTATGTGCTCGCCCTTGTTCTATCTCCCCTCAAAAGTGCAATGAAACTTTATTTAGTAACTTTTAATACATCCCATAACCATTTAATTTTAAAAATTCCATATTTTCCTAGACCAAACATGCTAGTCAACAACAGTCACTAAATTAAACAGCTTCATTAAAAGATTTACATATCATCTCTTCATACCAATAACTTGATTATTTTTTCCTTTTTTTTTTTGCCTCCATTTTTTCCAGGTGCTGCCTTTGGAGTTAAGGTGAGCTACAGATCTATTTATTTTGCTCTACTCCAGGTTTCTGGTAAAGTAGAAATAGTATGTTATTGCCTCATGAGCATTAAATCTAATTAAAGTTTAGTTGTTCAAATAATATTTGGCAGTGCATTATTGAATGATATTGCCAATTTCATGGGAAAGTAGAACATCCTCCCACCATCTACAGTTCATTAAATAAAACAAAGGAAGTGAAAAGTAATTATATAATCCTATTATATTAACTCTTAGAGATAACTGAGTTACTCAAAGCCAAAGGCATTAGGTTACCTACTCGTGAGGAATATTATCTTAAGATGACCTGCTTGAAAGCATCAAAGACTGTGATTCTGGTAATTTTTTCTGTACATTAAGACCCATAGAACTGTGTTCCTTGCATAAGTTTTCTATACCTATACCTATACCTATACCTATACCTATACCTATACCTATACCTATACCTATACCTATACCTATATCACAGAGAGGAAAACAGCAGGGTCTGTGTGATGGATTTGTCTGCATAACCAGAAACTTCTGCAGAGAAGATTCACTCCTGACTGAGCAGATTCAGGATGATATCTCTAATTTTCCTCCCGGCAGGAGCTGCAGGCACTGTGGCTGCGGTGGTGGGAGGCCACAGGGAGATTTTTGAGTGAGCTGACTCTGTGCTGCTTTCCCAGGTTGACTGCAGCCTCTACTCCAGCAGCACCACCAAGGATGGGGTGGTCAGGGTAGCTTGCCCAAGGAACTTGGAGCCAGTCTGTGGCACCGATGGCAAAACGTACAGTAATGAGTGCGGCATCTGCTTCCACAACGCGTGAGTATTGCTGAAACCCAGCAGGAGCCACAGGGCAAGGGGCTTGAGGTAAGGGTGGCAGCTCCATCCTCCAAAGATGGACAGGGTAGAGGACTGTGTGAGTTAGCAGCTGGGTGCTTGAGGCCATGCTGCTCTTCACGATCCCTGACACAGGTCTGCTTTCTTCTAGGGAGCACAGGACCAGTGTGGAGAAGGCATACAATGGAGAGTGTGAGCCGAGATCTGTTACGGTAAGACAAAGTCCATGGAGGGAGACAGTTCAAACACAACAGAAGACAAAAACCAGGATGCACACAGCTGATCTGCACAGCCCAAAGGGAATGAAAATCTGATGGTAACCAAAGTTGAGAGGGTTTTTATGGACTGTCTGGTACCAAGTCTCTGTGCTTTTTAATTTCAGACTTCTAGCCTCTGTAATTGGGAATAAAATGGAATTGTTGCATTGGCTGAAGGTTGAGACTAACCACCTGGATAGCTCCAGCAGGATCTTATGAAGGACTTCACAAAATCCAAATCACAGTCCTTGTTATGTCCTGTTTTTTCAGCAGCAGAGCATTCCCACAGAACTGACTCTGGCTTCCACATTTGATAGTGGAATTAGTTTGATGCTGGATTTGTCCCCGAAGGGGTGTTCCTGCTCCGGCAGGGGGATTGGACTAGATGCTCTTTTGAGGTCCCTTCCAATCCCTAACGTTCTGTGATTCTGTGAAGGCTGAGGGAGAGTAAGGAGACTATGTAGGAAAGTTGTGTCTTTATATAAAAAATGTTTGTTGTTTTTTTTTTTTCTCAACTGCTGCTGTTTTTTACAGATCGATTGCAGTAGGTACCGAAGTACTGAAATTGATGGCCATGTCCTGGTACCATGCCCAAGGATACTGAAACCAGTCTGTGGCTCAAATGACTTCACCTATGACAACGAATGTGGGATCTGTGCCTACAATGCGTAAGTCTTGTGCACAGAACATCGTTCTGGATAATTAGTGATAGTTAAGGCTCTCAGAAGCACTTCTGTAAAACACTGATCTGTCTTAGGGCAGGTGTCTCTGTAGGCCCCTTTGGAGCTGGCTGCTCATAATTCTCTAGTCAACCTGAGTTTCCTTCCCCATTTTCTGTCTGTGGTTATGAGAGGAATCATAAAAGAACCAGAGGACAACACAGAGCAGAGACATGAACAGATCAAAGTGTTACTTGTAGCACCTAATTACTCCTAAATAGAATATGAATATGCGATATAAAGATACTGTGCGTTTGCTGCTACCATCTGTGGGGCACATTCAGATAAGTCAAGCAGTTGCAGTGTCCCACAAGGCAGGTGGGACCTTGCTTTTTTGTTTCAGTGCCTAGGGTGTCATGGGAAAAGTTATTCTCAAGGCTTCCTAACCAAAGCATCTCTTTCTTTCAGAGAACATCACACCAATGTGAGCAAAAAGTATGACGGAGAATGCAAGCCTGTCACTGTAAGTGCAATAGAAGTAAAAAATCCATTTCTTAGGGCTGTTAATAGAGAGGATCTTGAGACTCCCACAGATTTCCCTGGGAAACTGCAAGAGGACCATATGAGAAGGCTTACGAGGGTCCCAGACCCTGCTTTGCTTTTCTGTGCAGTGAGGGTGGCTCTCACATTCTAGCTGCTCCAAAAATAGGGTCACCCCTTGCATACCCCACCAAACCGACAAAGGAGAAAGGAGATGGCTGTGAAATGAGAAGCTGCAGAATTCACTTCCCGGCAAAGTGAATTTTGTACCCAGGGGAAGGGGAGGCCCCAGATTTTACTTGCAAACACGCTGTGCAGGTTGATGGTTTTGTCTCAGGAGAGCACAAGCTTTTCCATTCTTTGCAACAGGTGTTCAAAACTCCCATGCTGGTTGCTTTCACAGACATGGTGAGACTCATAAAAGCACTAAGCATACATATTTATGGAGTATAGTTTATTGTGTATTTGATGGGGCCAACAGTCTGGTGCCTCAGGAAGAGAAGCTTCTATATTTCAGCACCAAAATTTTGGGATGTAGAAAGTCCATTCTCCAACTCATAGATAACAATTTTTTTGTCCTCTGTTCTTTCGAACTATGTGCTTAACTACAGGGAATCTGAACTAATAAGTAACTACAGAGCTGGAGAGGTGGGTAGGAAACTAACACAAACCAAAACAGTATTAGTCAGATTCCAGCTGGTGAAAAATGTTTCCCACTAAATTCAAGACTGTTTTGTTTATGAGAATATGCCCAAAATTTTTATCATGTTCTTCTGCCTGAAGCACCCCTTCTCTAAGACAGTCCTCCTTCTTGACTCCTAGAGAGCCAGGATAATATTCGGAAAGCTCATTTCTGATTGAAGATTTAGCTCCAGTGTATCAGGGCTTTGTCCTCTTGCAGAAGCAAGGGAGGCTGGGATACAGAATGAAAAGGTTTTGCATCAGCTATTCTCATATAGCAAGGGCTCCACAAGAGCCAATTCCTCCTTATTTTGACAGATTAACTGCAGTGAGTACCCAACAGAAACCACTAAGGATGGCAAAGTATTAGTATCCTGTCCAAGGAACCTGAGTCCAGTTTGCGGCACAGATGGCGTTACATATGATAATGAATGTTTGATCTGTGCCCACAATGGGTAAGTGCCATACGTAGGACTGAGGAAAGTAGCCAGCAGTGCTTTGCAGTCCTGAGAACCATCCTTCTGCATATCTGCTTATGGCTATTTCTTCAAGTCGCTTTCAAACTGGATTGGTTTTGGATTTGCCTTGAGCTTCCTTCTGACAACCTCTTTGTGCTCATGAGGGGAAACCTTGAAGAGTCTGAGGGCAGCTCCTTGGATTAGTCTGCAGGCTGGGCAGTGACTGAGCAGAGGAAGGAATAATTCAGAATATTGCTTTAAATTGCATATTATGAGAAGATCTGATGAGCTTGTTAACAAGTAAAGCAATGTAGTTATTCTGATACACTCTCACAGGCTGAAGTTGTGGTTTAAAAACAAAAACTTTGTTTTGCAAGTGACTGCAGCCAAGAGGTTAAGCGTTTATTTCCTCAACTTTATTGTTTCCCTCTTCCAGAGAACACAGGACCCATGTTGGCAAAAAGCATAATGGACAATGCAAAAAGGAGACTTCCGAGGTAAGTATTCAATATAAGGTATATGTCTTCTCTCAGCTGTATCAGCTGAAAATTTCCCTGACACTACATCTGCTCTGAAAGTGAGCTGGCCTGAAGCCTGACTTTCTCCACATGTCTTTTAAGTCTTGTCAGCCCCTTGGGCTGAAGATGCCTACAAATCCCATCTGTCCTGAGACAGCTGTCCTCTGGGCCCTCCTTACCGGCACAGCCCTGGCAGATGGGTTGCGTGAGAGCTAGCACTGGATTTACATTACGAATTCATACCTACATCATCCTTTGGAGTCACGGTATATTTTTGGTAAAGGGAGCACACCTAAAGTTTTGATCTGAGTGTATCAGCCAAGAAATCCCAGAGCCGGTGTCTAGGACATGCCAACACATAAATGTGGAGGTCAGTCAGTTTGAGCTTAGATCTTCCTTTGAGGATGCTCTTCAAATGTACTGTCAGCAAAGTCCAAATTCCTTCACTATTTTGGTGTTTGGTTTATGTATATACTGCAGAATGAAAAGAACACTGGGGGTTTTTTTGTTTGTTTGTTTGTTTTCTCTTCTGACATTTGGGATTGATCGAGCTACTTACCCCAGTGATTTGGCATCTCACAAGCTTTGCAGTGCTATGCAGTTCCCTCTGTGTATGAGAGGATTCATGCAGAACTGGCTCGGCTTGGTTTTGGGAGAACTGAAACGTAGGACTAGGGTTGTTTCAGCATCCCAGCATAAAAGACATGGCAGGAGGTTACGCTGGGGTTTTTCACGGACAACAAGGCCTTCCCCGGGTTTGACACTTTGGCTTTTTGTAGATCGATTGCAGTCGCTACCCAGCAAAAATGATTAAAGGTCACAAAGCCCTGATACGCTGCCCAAGGATCCTGCTCCCAGTCTGCGGCACAGACGGATTTACTTATGACAACGAATGTGGCATCTGTGCCCATAACCTGTAAGTACTGTACACAGGACTCTCTTTTGGGGTGACTAGCCATGGTTAGTACCCCAGATGGCTTGGCTTTTGATACCAACATATCTATATGCCTCTTTCTGATTCTCTTTCAACCTTCTGAAGCCCCTGTCACCTTGATTTTGTTCCCTGATGCTCTGTTTGCACTCCTTGGGGGAGCTGTGGGAGGGCCAGCTCTCAATCTGAGCACACTATGAGGGCTGTGGTATTTGGGCAGAAGAAAGAGTGGATGGGGCTGTTGCACAGCACACAGTGAGGAGACCTTACAGGTCTCTTGCTGGTTAGAATTACACTTGCTAATGACCAGGAGAAGCTGGTTCATCAGGCAATCGTATGCCTCCTTTATCATGTACATTGGCTATGAGTTTGGATTGCTTTCTGTGGCACCTGGGTGTCTCAGGGCTTGGTAAGCACGCTAACGCCAACCTCTCCCTTTCAGAGAACATGGGACTCATGTTAAGAAAAGCCATGAGGGAAGATGCAAGGAGGAAAGCACTCCTGTAAGTGTAACTGGCTATAAATTAAGTGCCACCTCCTCTCTTTCCAGCCCCCAGAAAGAGCCTGGCTGGGCTCAGCCCACAGGCCGTGCTCCGGGGTGCATAGAGAGGTGATGCATGGGGCTTGTGCTGGTGCTGCAGATCTCCCTCGTTGCTCGGTGGTTGCTGCCGATGTGCTGTATGTGAGGGCAAGAGAGAACGGGTACAGGCCAGGACTTCAGAGACAAAATGTCCCAGTGCTGCAGATCTCTGAACAGAAATCATCAGAGGCAGCCCAAGAACCACACAGCCCATTTTAGCACAGGAGGAAAGCACAGAAGGCTGTGTTAGATGTCCTTGTATCTATTCAGTGATAGGATTTCCATTGCACTAGACAGGCAGGTTAAAAATTCCTCCTGCTCCGGTCAGCCAAGAAAAATCTGGTCCCAGATATGCATACAAAAATAGCTTTATTATCCTGCACAGTAACAATATGTGCTGATAATATCTCAACACATTTATTCTGCTTATGCAGAGCAGCTCTAAAGCACCAAAAATAACTTCATGCATCCTGAGGGACTGCAATATTTTTTCTATAGTAAAGATGCACAGTTGAAACGCTGTCTTTGCTTTAATTTGCTTTTGGACCATGTGGGAAATATGGTAATAAGAGTCACTGCATTGGGGAAACTATACAAAATGACAGTGAAGTGTCAGTGAAGCTTTGCTAGTGTAGACTGACTTCCAATAGGTGTTTGTCTATTTATCCTCAAATGTTTAAAACTGTTAGATTTTATGTATTGTAAATATTTTTGCAACAGGAGCTGCTGAAACAGTTCTTGCTGCTGTTTTGAAAAAGCTGAAACAAAATCTCAGATTTAGTTAACTATGTCAAGCTGGACTTAATGTCAAACACTTTAAATCACATTCTTTGGGTTAAATGCTGGTTTTACAATTGTTGTTCAGCTACAATTAATTAATTTCTAATGGAAGACTAAACTTACAAAACCTCTGATTTTCCTCTGGTAGAAGCCTTTAAAATCTGGAGGATCAGAGTGGGCAGACGGCAGATGAGGCAATTTCCATCTCCCAGCGGCTGACCCAGCATCATTATTTTATCTCCCCAGGTTGACTGCAGCACGTACCTGAACAATCGCGAAAACGGCGAAGTCATCACAGCCTGCCCCTTCATCTTGCGCGAGATCTGTGGGACAGACGGTGTCACCTACAGCAATGACTGTGCGCTGTGTGCCCATAACATGTAAGCCCTGGAGGTCACCCCCTGAGACCTCAGACTTTCATGTCAAGCATTTTTAACTCTGCTTTCTCTTCCAGCGTATTTGGGACCGATGTTGCCAAGAAGCATGATGGAAGGTGCATAGAGGAAGTTCCCCAAGTAAGTGAAACCTAAAGAAAAAATAAGAGCTTTAGCTGGTGCTGATTGCATAACTCAAATAAACGTTGCTTGGGTTTGGTGGTGTAGCCTCCACTGGGGGGTCACGGCTTGTCCCTTCCTGTTGCGTGTGACGGTCAGCAGTAACATTATGCACTTCCTGCACGCAGCCAGGAGAAGAAAGAGGAGAGGACAGGTGAGGAATGAGTTATGAGACAGGTAACATAAATGATTTAGGGCTTTACAAGAAGAAATCCCTTTCCCACAGCAGTCTATCATAGCTGCCGCAGGAATTTAGCAGTCTGGTTTGGCAATACGGGAAGGGGACGCAGAGGACCCAGGGTACCCAGTACCTTCTGGATGCTTGCATTTTACAAAAGGATGTTCTGCAAAGATTAGAAAATTGCCTGTGTTTTGAATGCTGATACCTAATATACCAGGGGATTCAAACCCCTCTCTGTTGTTTGGGTTTTTTTTGTTTTGTTTTGGGTTTTTTGTTTTCTTTTGTGGGGTTTTTTTTTGTAAATGCAATGTAATCTAATGTATACTAACAATGAATCTTGTAAAAATACCAGCTTAACTATATTTGGCCAGCTCTAAACTATTTACACTCACTGAGGAATAGAAGAACAAAGCCATCTCATTAGCATGTGTTTGAAAGAGTCAACATCCCGAGTCAGATATTTCATTTCTATACAAACAAACTATGAAATCTCATTCTTTGTTTCCCGAGTACACTCTGTGCTCAGGCCGGGTGAGATACATAAATCAGGGAGGAAGAGCTCACACTGGAGAAACTGGGAGTGCTAAAACACAAGGCCAGTTCTTCAACCGGTGTAAATCAGCTTCAACTGCTGTCAGTCCTGCTGGCAGATTTCAACACTCAGAGCCATCCTGTTGTAACAAAAGACCTGTCAGCACATCTACCCCCATTCTTTTGGGCTGTGAAAAACTCCTTGGTCACAGTCAGCTCTCTCACAGAAAGTGCATAAATCATGCCATTTTGTTTTGCAGATTATTTTTGAGCCACATTTTGTAATATCCCGGTGGGTTCAGCGAGGTATAGGGGCATCATAATAAATACAAAGCTGAATGAGTGATGTCTGCCTTCAAGCTTTGATTCAGTCTTCTCCTGCATAAAGCTCTGAAAGCAAATTGCTAGTTTTCCATGAAGAATGAGTTAATATATAACCATAATTTGTCTTATGGCAGATCCTATGAGGCAGAGGCATAAGTAGTGGGGTTGTGTTTGGGCGCCCTTGCACAGAGCAGAGCCTGAGCTGGATCTTTTGCCGTCTTTGTTCCCCAGCTCAACTGCAGCAAGTACCCATCTTCCACGCTGAAGGACGGCAGACAGCTGATGGCCTGCACGATGATCTACAGCCCTGTCTGTGGTACCGATGGTGTTACCTACGCCAGTGAGTGTACGCTGTGTGCCCACAACCTGTAAGTACTCATCTTTCTCCTTGGAGGGCTCACAGTGGTGGTGGCTGGATCTGTCAGTGCCAAGTAATGTGCAATGGCTCTCTCTGAAACCCTGTGCTGGATCCCATTTTCCTGCTGGCCCTGGTTGGTGTTTGACATGGGTATTTGACACCAGAGCCCCACAGAGGGGGATGCATTAACTGGGAAAAGTGTTATTCCGAGAGACACGTGCCTGGTCCATCAGGACATGTTCTTGTTTGTGCTGTGCAGGCAATGCTAAGATGGTTTATCTGAAAAATCTCCTGTGCACTACATGAATGAGGTTTGTTCTTGCACTGCAGTTTTAACAGGGAAGGTTGGAGCTAACAATGGTCTTTCCTTCCTCCAGGGAGCATCGGACCCATGTTGGCAAGAGAATGAACGGACGCTGTGAGGAGGATATCACAAAAGTGAGTGGGAATGGATGGGAACAAAGAGCAAGGTCCAGTTCCTGTTACAGTCATGGGGGACTGTTCTCTGCTCTGAGTTAGAAATTGGGGGAGCGATGGTGTGCAGACCTGAGGAGATCCCTTGGGAGTTTCACACTGGTCATAAACCAGCCAACGTCCATCCCATTGCCCTGTAACAGTGCAGGAAAAGACGTGGCAGTGAGCAGAAATAGTACAAGGTCACATCTGCCACCAGGAAGAAGCTTTGAGTTGGTTATTATGAAGTTACAGGTTCATTTCTCAGTGGGACATCATTCCTTATGGCTGGGGGCCATGATTTGTGCTCAGACAGTCTCATGTCTGTCTTCTGTATGCAGGAGCATTGCAAGAACTTCCACGAAGTCTCTCCTATCTGCACCATGGAGTACATGCCCCACTGTGGTTCTGATGGCACAACATACGGCAACACATGTTTTTTCTGCAATGCCTACCTGTACGTACAAGAGTAAAACCCTTCCCTTCATGATTGATTCCTGTACCTGCTACGAATGCAGGGCTGTTTCCATAATGTGTTTTTTGACTAACTGCTTATGGGCATATACTGGGTATCTCTGGTGCACCATAAGTTGTGCAAAATGATAGATTTTTTGCGTTTTATGGGAAAATGTGAAGGGCTCATTTCTGTGATCTGTACCTGGCCTCCTATTTGTTGACTTCAGAGATATTTTACTCATTTTCTCCAGCATGTAATCTGTCTCACAAGCTCATCAGGGCATATGGAAAGTACGTCAACAAACCAACTGGATAGTATCAAGCATGTGAAACCTTTAATCTTTCCTTTAATGATAACAGCGAAAGGGAGTGTTTGGGCTTTTGAGACAGTTCTTCATCTCCAGTCAACATGAAGCGAGCACTTGGGCCAGTGAAGTGAGGAGCAGGGCTTCAGCACTGAATACGCTTTGTGTCTAATCCTTCTCTCTTGTTTTCTCCCCAGGAGAAGCAATAGGACTCTCAACCTCATGAGCATGGCTGAATGCTAAGTCTGTGCTGGAGCACAGCCCAGGAAGATGAGCTCCCTTGTGTGTGACTTCCCATGGGCTGATCTTCCCCAGCAACTTCCCTTCAGTCTGTCTTGTTTCCTTAGCTCCTGAAACACTTGTTCAATAAACTCACTTGGCAACATTTCTCTTAGTGACATGCCTCATCTCTTTTGCCCCTTCTTCTCCCTGACACAGTACTCCTAGTGGTACATGTGTATTTTTCTATTGATATTCTGCTCTACCAAACAATGTGGGTGAATCTTTTCCTGCCATCTGTGAGTGCCATCACTGCTCTGATGATGGCCTGGCTTCCCCTTGAAGCTCACAGCTGCTTCTTACTCCTCAGCATCTTCTTGTTAGTATTAGTTTCATCTAACAGTTAATATCTCTGTATGAGCTTATTATGGACTCCATCTTTATAGTCAGTGCAAGGAGACGTTCACCTCGAGGGCATGGGTCCACCAGAGGGCAGTGTTTGGGGCGTGGGTGGTGGTTTGCACCCAAGAAGAGCACTTCCTTGCTGTGGGTTAGAAGGGGAAATCGGCTGCCTGGACAACGGGTGCCCCTGTTCTGGTTCCCACTGCCTGTGCAGCCCTTCCCACGGAAGAGGCAGCAGGTGCTGTCAGGAAAGGGGATCCCAGCCTGTCTCCACTGAATTTGTCCTCAGTGTTGAGTGCTGTTACAGTATATAATCTACAGGAGGGGATGTTGAGCTCTCTTTAAGGTTACAGGCAGCAGAAGTGTCCACTCACAAAATACCTTGTTTCACAAAATATCTTGACTCATTAATGCAACAGAATACCTCCAGGTGGGCAGAAATTCCCCCTGGGGTGGAGGGCAGGCCTGGTACATCACTGCATCTGCCTGCCTCCTAAAGCCGTTCGGGAAGGAAAAGGATGCAGAAGTTCACTTGTGACCAGTTTTAACCAAAACACAAGTTACAGGAAAATGGTTCTGCCTGATAGTCATGTTTTGCCTACTTTTTGAGGTCAAATTGCTCAGGAGCAGGTGATACAATTGCTGTCATTTTGGTGTCCGTATGGATGGCATGGAGGTAGGGGGACCTTGTCGCTGCCCTTCATCTGCTGGCAACATAGGTACAGCCACAACCACTAGCTCTGCACCAGGTCACCAAAGCTATTGCAATCTCAGTATTTCAGGGTTAAAGGATTTCTTCTGGACTACAGCTTGTGCCTCCCTGATTCAATGTCCCATTGTAGTTTGCCAGAGAATAACACAATTATTTGGATCTATTTGGAAAGTCACTCTTTGAATTGTCAAGCTAGAAGAATAGGCTGAAGGCAAACGTTCCCGACTTGGAGATACTGTGGGTATTGTCCCAGGGAGTGAGGCCGTAGTACCTCCGTGCCATTAGTGTCCGTGGCTGGTGCGTGCTTTTCAAGACGATTTGTAACTAACAATGGCTTATTGTACTTTTCTTGGGTCTGTGTCCTAATGTAAATGTTCCTTTGGTTTAAATAACCTTTTTGTCATTTTCTATTATGGTGTTTTAGCAGAACACGCTGCTTTAGTCTTGTTTAAGTGTTACTTTGAATAATAATTTTTTTTTTTTGTGAACTTTGGCAGACTCTCACTTGGACTTAGCTCTGACCGCTGGCTTTTGCAAGCCTTTGCAGTAAAGCTGTCAGGATCCAACTGAATGGCATTATCTGAGCACAGGCATGCCAAAGCCTCCTCTGCAAAGCTCACAGTCTGATGACACCAAAGGCAAACATGAACTCAAGGAGGCACAAAGTTGAGATTAAGTCAGAGCAATCCAGGGAAGAAGCCGAAGTGGTCATTAGACAGAAGTTTCCATGCCGTATTTGCCAGAAGGCTTCATGTAAAAGTACATAATGGAATGGATCACTAAAACTGGGCCTGAAAATGGGAAAAGACTGACATTGGAGTTTAAATATCCCCCAGGCTCAGGAGGGTGTTTTATGAATATGACTCTATAAAAGTAGGGCAGCCTCTTCTCAAGGACAGAGTTGTTTTCTGTGCCTCGGAGTTGTTTTTCAGCTGTCCCAGGGTTACTTACTGAGTGTGTGTTAATGAGATGATTTCTATCCGCTTTGGTGAGGAAGCAATGGTCAGGCAAAGACGAGCACATTTAAGAGGAAGCATTGAATTTTTGTGGCTTAGGAGAGAGGTAAAACAATACAAGGTTTCATGGGTCACTGAGAGACTTGAAAGGTGGTTTTAAGGTGTGGTTGGCTAAGCTGGGTGCCTGCTAGGCCACAGATGGAGAAATGGCTGGATAAATGGAGATTAGTGTGCTGGGGAGCACAAAGAGATGAACTCATGAGCTCAGTGCTTGCCAGGCTGCAAATGTATTCAGTCACTGTCTCCAGTGTGAAGATGCCAGATGCTTTGGTGCTGCAGAGCCGATGGCTCCATTGCTTCTCAGGAGCATTATGTGGTAGAGCCCTGAGGCTGACTTTCTTACTCACCCTGGGCAAAAGCCTGAGCAGCTTCAAAATGATCAGGTTGCTCTCAAAAACTGTTCAACTGTCATGCTAGGAAGATCTGGTTTTTATTAACTTAGAAACAGGCACTAAAAAGATCAGCTGCAAGCACGGATTTAGTCCTGCTTCAGTGGACTTGTATTTTTTGCACTCTTGTCATGAACAGAAACAGTTGCAGGTGCAGCCTTGTGCCTTCAGCCAAGGATGCAGTGAAGAAAAACCTGACTTTCCAGCGCCTGCTATGCCTACAACATCAAGCACCCAAAACTGACTGCTGAAATGCAGCTGCTCCAGCTTCGCACGCTGCCTCACAGCCACCACCGCAGCCTCAGGCCCTGGAGAGCAGAGACCGAGCTCCTGGGCCGCGTCAAGGGCGGACAAACTTTGACGTATTTCACACTGATGATGGTCCAGCCTCAAGATTCATCACTTGTAAATGCAGAGGCAATATTTTAAAAACATAAATGTTGTGTCTCCTTCCTTGTTTATCTAAGTTATCTTTATAGCCTTATCAATGTTTTCAAAGCCTACAGTAATTTTTCTTGCAACACAAAGAGGAGGAAGAATGAGGTGAATAATTTAATTCTTGGCTGATAAGTGGGATTTAGAAAGCGACACCTGGTCTTTTCATATTGAGGCGAAAGAGGTTTTTTTCACCATTTATCAGCACTCACCCATCTATGACTTGAAAAAAAACCAACAACCCACAACTTTTCCTTGATATGGCTGTACATAAACTTCCTTCAAACACTTTACCAAAAAATCGATACCTTTCAATATTACATCTGCTGATAATTTGCCTTGTTTTAGTTTTTTTTTTTTTTATCTGCTGCATTTGCTAGAGAGGCATGTGGATGGGCCTAGGTACTCTGTCACTCTCTTGAGGGGTGCTTGAGGCTCATCCCACTGAATTTTCAAACTGTTCTCTGTTCAGAAGAATATTTAAAATATTTTTTAACAACTTTTATAGCTATATCTTTCTCAAAAAAAAGAAATTGAGAAAAAATTACACAAACTCATTGTGTCAGTTGCACTGGTCTAACTGGCTGTTAGCAAAGAAAATGGTTTGGGAACTGAAAAAATTTCCTTGGGCCTCCATATTTAAAGGAATATAATCCTGGTATCCGCCTGTTTCATCCATCAATATGTTCACACTCAGAAATGCTCATTCTATTGTTGCAATTTAACGTTTGATACAAGTTAATGTGATTCTCTGCCATGCTCTGGGCTCTGGCTGCATGCTCTCCACTGATCAACGAGTAGATATGAGAAAGCAGCAGCGAAAGGGAGCCTGTCTCCAGCTGGCAGCCATCCACGCAGCCTAGGAGGGTTTTCCAGATTTTCACCAGCTGAGGTGCAGCCCCATAAGTTTAAACATATTGTGAATTTGCAAACAAAGAGCTTTCACACAGTGCATCGGTTTCGGCCTGATATTCATTCATAGAAGCAAAACGTTAATTTCATTCAAGCCCCCTGAAGAATGAGGAATATTTGGAAATTTATTGCCTTAAACCCTCTTTTCTCTGTTTCCTTGAAGGCTTAGCCATAGTGGGTGCTCTGGGGGCAGTGCAGGGGACAGCCAGTCCAAGTGCTGGAGCAGATCTGTGGCACAGATGGTTTCATTTGATGCGGTTTCACCAATGAATGTGGGATCTGTGCCCGTAATGTGTCAGTTCGATGGAAAGATCGTGCTTTCTGAGTGACAGTTCCCTAGCCCCTGGCCTCTCCCTGTGATTTTCCAATTTATCCTCCTTTCCTCCCTCTTTGCTTGCTGTTTGTGCTTGAGGGGAAACCGTGAAGATTTAGTAGAGAAAGGAAAACAGCTGAAGCAAATAGCCAGAGTGGAAATCCAAATGATGCAGCACATTCAGATGGCACAGGTTTGTTGACTGATGGAATTATAATACAGAGACAGGGAAGCCACTTCATGGGTGGTGGTTAACTCGGATGAACTCTCCTTCATTGCATCATTTGGGAGTTTTATTTACATTCCCAGCACCTGTCCCCCTTTGGGTAAATGGTCACACTGAGTCTCTAATGGCAGACTTTCCCTTCCTCAGAGGACCTAAGACACCCGGGGACTTGGGAACAGCAGTCGGCCCAGTGACTAAGAAGAAAGGCGAATCAAGGAGCAGTCTGAACTCCCATTGCTGTCTGTGGCAGCTTCCCAAATCATGTCAGCCGGATGCTGAGCAGGCAGCGTACGATTGGATGTAAGTGATGCGTATACCTTCTGTTGACATTTTATTTGGCAGAGTTTGAATGCTAGCTTTCTAACATTGCTGTTCTCCACAGGCTGTGTTCAAAAACTATGAAGAAAAGCATGGCAAAAAGATGTAAATTATGAAGCAAATAGCAGAAATATTTCTTTGCTGTGCAAGCACGCACAAACAGCCTTCACTGACAGCATCAGGAAAGTGCAGCACAACCTGCAGAAAAGGAAATGCACAAAACCTTTGCAGATATCAGTGCATTCAGCTCTCCCGAGACAAGAATTTTTTTCAGATTGCAAATAGGGCACAGTGCCCAAGC